AAAAAAAAAAAAAAAAAAAAAAAAAAAAAAAAAAAGAAAGACTTGCATCACCACAAAAACACTGAGCACAACACAGCATTAGATTGCAAAGTGATGTAACTGAGAAATACACTGCTTTCTGTTTTCACAGGGAGGCCCGCTCCCTGTTGCCAAAAATAGTACAGCATTATGTTTTGCTGGTGGGTGGGTGAGTGGGTGTGGGGTGGAGTATGTGTGTGAGCGGGGGGGCATCAGTCATCTCTTACTGGATCCCTACAACCTCGGGAACCTTGAAGAATTATGCTTCACATATTGCAAGCAACAGAACCGAAGGCAACATTCCCTGGAAAATGGAATCAAGTGAAACTATCAAAAGCATTGCTGCAAAAGCTGATAGATTAATTTTTATCCTTAGCCTTACTGCACATATTTGTACCACTGAAAAGCAAGCTGCCACACATGGAAAATATTACAATGTATGAGACAATGCCTACAACTGTTATTCCTAAACAAAATATTTTCTCATGCAAAATAGATCCGAACTGCATTTCTAAGGAAAAAAAAAAAAAAAAAAAAAAAAGTTTTTATTTGCTTATTTGCTACATGTTTCTGAGCTGGCTAAAGATAGGGAATCAGGCATTGTTCAAAACAGCGAGCATTAGTTAAAAGTTCAGCTTAAAAGTTTATTTGCTTATGACTGTTTGATCATTTTAGATGAAAAAAAAAGTGTTATTTAAACACTGGCTATGTTATAACCACAGTTAAGGAAGGACTTAGTTTGAAAAGTGTCAAGATAAGTACAATGAATGCTTGCAGTACTGCCTGGATGCTGCAGTTGAAAATAGTGCTAGGTGCAGCAGGAATCCTCTGCAAGATACAGCCCTCATCCCAGAGACTTTACGGTAAACTATAATAAATATTTTATAGGGAACTTAAGCAGCACCTAAGTGTTATTATATAAAGAATGGTAGGACAAAACTAATGAATGCCAAATAGCTGGAAATCCAAATGGGGTTGTTTTTATTTTTTTCTGATATAGGATTGCTATTAGAGTTTAGCAACTTCAATAGGTCTTGACACGTCTCCTGTCAGACCAATAGCACTGACTGTATTACACAGAACACAAAGCCTATGAGGGTCAGCCTCACGCTGCAGAAAGTTTGATACAGCCATGCTCACTATTGGCTCTTTCATTGCTGTCTCTTCACCAGCAGACAGATAGATACCTGTAAGCCAGATCTCTCTTTACTACTCGTTACTTCTGTGATTCCACATGGCCACCCAGCTCTGTCCCTTTGCTCCTGCTCCTGCAGGCCATGAAATCACAAGGCCAACAGACTTGTGTGTCTGTCTTCCTCAGAAATTATTCCAGCGAGTCTTTAGCCAGACATGGATGCCCAGCAGAAATTTCAGATGCTATGGGTGGAAAATAGCAAAGGGCCTACAGAACAGCAAGAAACGAGGATGGACACTAGGTGGGACGCAACGCTAATGCCTCCTTGCTGGTGGTGGCTGAAATCTGTCTCCCCACAGTTGAGAGGACGCTCTGGGTCCACAGAATTCACAGGAGGTGATGGGGCAGCATCCTCTGAGGGAACCGGGATCCTCGGAAACATGCAGAAAGCTTTCAGAGGGCCTCCTCCAAAGGCCCCTGCTGGGATATAGCTCCTGTGTTTCAGCACTCTCCTCATAGAATCATAGAATCACTAAGGTTGGAAAAGATCACTAAGATCACGTAGTCCAATTTTCAACCCACCCACACTATGGCCATTGACCAAGGCTCTCAGTTGCAAACCTACTCATTTCTTGAACACCTCCAGGGACAGTGATTCCACCACCTCCCTGGGCAGCCTGTACCACAGCATCACCACTCTTTCCAAGAAGAAATTTTTCCTAATATCCATTCTCAACGTCTCCTGGCACAACTTAAGGCCATTACTTATATCACTGTTACATGGGAG